GGCTGCACATGCAGCAAGCAGGGTTCTGCTCACATGGTGACATTTGTTTCCAAAAGTGTATCAGAGGGGAAGCTAAGCTCTTCAGAGCATGTGTTCATTAAAGATGTGAAGTGGGGTGGGAAGCAATAAAAAAAAAAAGGCCAGTGAGTTCTCTTGTGAGGTAGTTTTTTGTTCTTATGAATTGAACACTCTGAAAAGTTTCAAAAAGAACCTAGGAGAATGCATTTGCTTTGATCTAACATGTAGAGTGTCCCCTCTACAAATGCCCTTGAATTTAGAAATGTTGTTGAAAATCTGTGTGAAAGTACATAAAAATATATGTAAATAAGGCCTAATTAGTTGTTTCAGTTAATTGTTGTCTGTCTACTTTGCAGCTCCATTCTTCCCCAGTGTTGCTTTTCAGAATCCGCTTTTGGCACTCTTGAAAAAAAGTTTCCTAGCAGTCATTTTAAAAAAAACACACTTTCCCCTGTTGAAAACCTGATAAATTAAAATCCCGATTGTGCCTCTTCGTGGAAAATTGCTTCAGACACTTTCAGTCTGTGACCCACAGTATGATAGTGAAGGAAATCTCACTGTCAATCAACAGAGCAGGACTTCCTTCTTGAGAGAGATGCTATGTGCTGTGTGAAAGACAGTGACTCTGTATCAGGTCAGTAGCCTCTTCTCTTCTTCCCAACTACACTGTGCTCCTTCAAAGGCAAGTGTTTTGGACTGGGGCTAAAAGGCTTTAATTCTTTCTCAGTTGAATAGGAGGCTTCCCAGTAGCAGTGGAGATGCTCTGGGTGTAGCTGGTGGTGGAGCTCTTGCAGTTGGACAGATCCTCAGTTCCACCTGCAGTGTGCGAAATAAACACTTGTAGACTGAACTCAGCTACTTTTCCATAGCTGCTGTCCAGAAATTGACTAAGAACTGAAATTTAGTGTTGGAAGGTATGCAACAAATTATGGTTTTCACCGAGTAATCTGCACATCTTCTGCACTGTCGTTTAGAGTTTGGAGGGATCTTGGAGGTAGGTTTTAGAGAAACCAGGGGAGCTGCCCAGCCTTCGCCTGTTCGAATCCCTGGTGAGGAACAGAAGATGTACACGAGAAGTGTAGATTTCTGGTTGCTATCCCGATTATACAGATTCATAATCGTCTTGAGGAGGGTCCTAATTTGCCACAAACATTGCTAGGAGATTTTGATGCTCATTGAATTTGACCATCCACCAGTCTCAGCTATCCAGTTTATTTTCTTATGAGGAAGCAGGCGTAGAGAATTGGTTGGGTCAGCTTCACAGTATGTGCTGGACAAGAGTGGCCCAGACTTCCTGGCTCCGGATTAACACTTCCCTGTACTTCACATGTGGGAGTAGTCTTAGGCATGCAGACCGGTTCAAAATGACTTATGGACTGAGTGGGCAACATGGTTCCACATAGAGCAGGAAGACACTCAAGGACCAGAGGTAGCAGTCCACACAGTGTTACCCATGTCTAAACTAAAACCCTGGAGAGCATAGCTGTGTTCTCCCATCCTCCCTTCTCTCCTTTTATAAGTCCAGAAACCTGTGCAAAGTTCTGAACGTGTTTAATTTGTCTTAGTGGCACATGTAGTTGAACACCCACTTAAAATCAGTGTGACTAGTGGAAACAATTTTTTTTTTTCGACAGGATTTCTCTGTTGTAGTTTTTGACTGCTCTGGAACTTGCTCTGTAAACTAAGCTGGCCTCAAACTCACTTGCCTCTACATCCCAAATGCAGGAATTAAAAGAGTATGCCACCACCACCCAGTGAAACATTACACATTGCTAGTTTATATGCTTTCTATGCATATTTGCATTTTTAAATGTTGCTTATATGTGTTATAGAACATTATAGTAAAGTCATTAAAATTGCAGATTGGTAACCCATTAATACCTATTAGTATTCAGGAGATGCCTACTGATACTAATTATATACCAAATTCAAGCAACTGAAGAGCCAAACTGACCTAGTTTTTCAGTGCTTTGGATGGTAGTTTGCACTACACTGATGTTTCTCACTCAATGTCTGCAAGATCACAGTCACCTCTGACCTATTAGGAAGGACTGGGTTCTGTTCAGTTTCCTGCTCTAGCGACAGAGGAACCCAGGAGAGTGGAACCCGTAAGTGAGATGGAACAAAGCCTCATGCAGTAACCAACTTTATTCAGAGCATCAGACAGTTTATACTCGGATGGGTAAGCAGAGTCATACAAGCAAAGAGTACAATCACAGGGCAGGCTGCACATGGTGGACAAGCAGACATGGCAAGATCATGGTTTCCATAAAAGCATTTAAACAAACAACACCAGCCAGTCGTAATGAATAATCTGAAGTAAGCTCACTCCTACCCACTACACCTGGGAACTTGAAAACATTCCCAGAACAATTCTGTGTTTTGAAGAAACTGAAGTTACAAGACTTGTGTCTTGGTTTCTTGTGGTTTCTCACAGCATTCAAAATTCTCCTGTGACTCCATTCTTGGACAGTGCTCTGCCAGTATTCTATTTCAGTGTTAATTCAGTTTGACTATCTACTAATTATAGAAACAGAGATATCCTCAGAGCTTGAATGTGTAAGGTCCCAGTTGGGTCTGTCCACTGATCACAGGTAAACACGTTTAATGTGCGGACTTTTGAATGGGCAACATATTTTAACAAGAATAGGAATGAACGCAAGCTGTTTGAAGAGGCATGCAGCCAGGTTCAAAGAATTACTTTTGGAATAACTATAGGAAATGACAGTCTTTTATATGTATGTGTGTGTGCATGTGCCAGGGGGTAGCTAGTTTATCATGTCTCAACACAAACATGTATTGGTTATCTACTGTGTGTTAAACTCTGTGTTAAGTGCTGAGGATAAAAAAATAAATCTGGGAAGTTTACTGTCCGCCTGACTGGAGAGGGCCATAAAAAGGCACCGCAGTTCAAGGAGGCACGTGCTAAATGACAAATGAGTCACACAGTCTGTGAATGCAGCAGACAGCATTCCAGCATTTACCACCCGGAGTGGTGACAGCGTCTCTTCCGTCACACAGCAGCTCCTGTGGTCCTTATCTTCTGCACACCGTCTCTTTCCTCAGCTAGCCTCAAAAACAGGCTCATAACGATTTTGTTGCTACTCAGTAGTTAAAAAAGAATAATGATTTTGAGAACCATGGGAAGATGTAGTTATTAGAGTGTACCACTAGCATATGTGTTTCGTGATCTTCCAGTCCCCTCTGTTTTTAAGAACAAAAGGATCTAATTCTCCCAGCAGAAGATGCACTATGAAATGGCATGGTTATTACTGCCATTTTATTTAGGATGGAAACTCGTTAGGTTTTGGAGTATTTTCATAGAGTTTATGTGTATCTTTGTAGGAAGGCAGTTTGTATTAAATAATTGTATTAAATCTTTTGAGCTCCTTGTAATGGAATTGATTATACCACTGGTTGCCAAATTATTTGTCGTCACCATCACTGGAAGACTAAATCGGTTTCATGCTTACATCATGAGCTGTGTCAGCTCTCTTTAGTCTGTGGATTTGGCCCCTGACCGTGAGGATTGCTGCATGGACGGGTTCTAAAGTGAAAGCCGTGAGACAGGTCAGAATTGTGATGCTGTTTGCATAGTGTTCACCAGCCTTGCTGGGGCTTCCGGGATGTTTGTGACAGGATTTCCTCCTAAGGAAGCATGCTCTCATTGGGGCAGGGCTATGATTACTGCCAGGTCGCCTGACAGTCCCTGGACAGTGTTCACAGAATCATCAAACTCCTGAGAGAGGAAAAGGAGTCACCTACCATCTAGTGGCCTTGATGGCGTGCAGGATTTATTGAGGTCCCAAACACTAAAGGCACTGGGGAGAAACTGGCGTGTTTGCTGTTGAGGGTGCCATGAGCACTGTGTTTATCTGGGAAGGATGGGAAGAGTCCTTGGGCTGGAGTAAATAGGTTCTATAATCAAAAGGGATGCAGAGGAAGGGAAGCTGCGAAGGTGAGATGGCCAGTCAGATGCCAGAGTCTTTACACTGATTTTGTTTTTCAAGCAAAAACATGCTGTGTGTCCTATTTAGGGATCATCTCATCACCAGACAAGCTTAGAGCCAATTCCAAACCCTACCTTTTATTTGCAGAACAATCTCACATAACACATTTAACATTGCAAAATTCTTCCTTTCTTCCATTCTCAATCTCTGCCTTTCTTCCTTTTATTGAATTTTGTTTTGGTTTGGTTTTGATTTTATTTTTGTGGGTAAGGTATCATATCACCCAGGCTAGCCTTGAACTTGCTATATAGCCAAACTGACATTTAATTTCTGACCCTCTTCCCTTTGCCTTTGAGATACCTTCAAATGCAAGTGCCACCATATCACACATATCACCACAGTTTTATGTGGTGCTGGGGATTGATCTCAGAGCTTCATTTGCTAGGCAAGTACTCCAGTAACTGAACTAGAGTGATAGTTCTTGGTTTTGTTTCTCTGAGACAGGGGCTCACTAAGTTTCCCAGGCTGCTTTGAACTCTGGTACTTGCCATATAGCCTAGACTGGCCTTGAACCCACGACCTTACCTCCAGTTCTGCGACTGCAGGGGTGAACCACCATGCCTGGCTTCCTTTCTTCATCAGTAAAATAGAGTCTCTTTCCTCAGAGATGTTGTGTAAGCCGAACAAACCTGTATTAGAAGCTCCCAGACAATTATGTCGTATTAATTAGTTTCTGAGAAGGAAAATAGGAAAATAAAGGTAGAGTTGTGGAGGAACTGATCTCTGATAGCTATGTGCAGAAGAAATAGAATCAGAGGAGACCAGAGACAAGAGTTTAGTTAGGATGATGTCTGTCTCTCAGGAGGTGGGGAGTCTAGACTTTTAGGCTGGGAAGGAGGATGCCCTTGGGTCCCTGCATTCTCTACAACTTCTCCTCTGCTACAGACTTCATTTAACGTAAGGGCTGTGGAGCCTTATTCTGTGCTGTTCGAAGTTCAGCAGCAATCATAGTCTATCTTTTGCCTTGAACAGGATGCCAACGATCTATTGGTCTCTCTAATGGCAAGGCCAAGGTGTGCAATTACAGCGGGTGGTACTACTGCAGCAGCTGCCACGTGGATGACAGCTTTCTCATCCCAGCACGAGTAGTTCACAACTGGGACACTTCAAAATATAAGGTAGGTGCCAACTCTCACTTTGTAGTTCAGCCTGGCCCCAAACTAACAATCCCTCTGTCTCCAGCTCCCAAGAGTTGGGCTGACAGACACATCCCATCACGCCCAATTGTGCCTTCAGATTTTATCTAATATCTTACACATCTCACTATTTTAAAGCTTTTTTTATTGTGGTTCTTATTAATTTGAAAATATATGTATGTTTTTGGATCTATAGTCTGTCAACTATAAGTTTTTAACTGTAGACCTTGGTAATTAACTATAGGTGCTAAGAGAATTCTATATGGTGGGAGGCCTCTTAGGATTTTTATTAGAAAATGGGGAAATTGAGATTCTACATGATCATACCTGTGATCTCTGGAGAAGGCATATGTGACCCAAAGTGTTGCTTGTGATGATATAGCACTCTGATTCAAGCCCGTTCAGCCCTTGAGCTGGAATTCTGGGAGAAGCCCACAGAAGGAACAGTGCAGTTAGTCAACCTCAGGTCTTTTAGGAGAACTCTTGTATATTAGAGAATGGGAACAAGTGAGAAATGCTGGAATATGCTAGGCTTTGCACAGTGATGACTAGCAGACAAGAGAGACATCCAAGGGGTATGAATAGCACATTTGTTATATATAGCTGTTAAATAGCTGTTAAAGTGCAGGTCAACAGGGGGAGAGGAAGGCTCAAGACATGTTGGGTCATCCCAACGTAAGAGTGTACAGAGAAGAGGGGCAACAAAGAGCGTCAGGGGACCAGAACGAGTGAGCAGTGAGGTAGAAGGAGCCCAGGCTGCCTGAAAAGCCATGTGAAGAAAGTGTTGCCCGATGAACTGTGACAGACGCTGATAGGTCAGATAAGATGAGCCCTGAGTACTGACCATTGGCTCCAGTCATGTGGAGGTAATTAGTGACCCTAATGAGAGCACTCTGAATGGAGAGGCAGGAGCAGAGGTCTGAGTGGAGAGGGCACAACATAGAATTGGAAGAAAGAAAGGAATGACAAGAATAGGCGAAGGCTCACTCAAAAGGGAAGAGACAGGTAGAGGATAACGCAAAGGGAAGTGGGGTCAAGTTAGGTTTGACTTTTGTTTTAATGGAGAAAAGATAACAGCGTAGTTTTCTATGCTGCTGTGAACTCTGCAGGAGAACGGGAAAGGCTGGAATGATGAAGGTGAGAGAGTAAGAATGCATCCTGTAGACAGCACGGGACTTGGCCAGGGTTCAACCGCGGAGTGCGAGGAAAGGAGTCTGAGAGGTATTGGAAACCCATGGGAGCCCTTTTTTGCTTTCAATATCTGTGATCTTACAGGGGTTAAGTTTCCATGTGGGTTACTCTGGAAACTCCCTCCTGCTAATAGGGAAAAGTAGATGATTAGAAAATAATTCCGTCAACTCACCTGCAGGCTTCTGTAGCCACATAGTCCTCACTGCCCTTCTACAGGAAACCAAACCCCTCTTACTGAAGCTTTTATCCCTCCGCCCCTGTTGTTTCCTTAGCGCTTCCTTTCCACATCATGGTTTTACCAACTCTGGAGGGTTGGTGTTAATTAGACATCTGTCCAAAGCATACCTCAGCCCCTTCTTGTGTGTTTGGTTAGTGGGAGACATATTCCTTGAACTTCCCGAGTCCAAGTTTTCTAAGACATAAGATGAGCCCAGCCTGCCTTGGTTCAGATCTTGGCTTTATTGCTTGCTGATATGTGACCTGGGTGAGTTACTTAGACTCTGGGTGTTTTAGTTTTCTTGTTTGTAAGATGAGGACAATATTACCTCAAAAGAGTTACCCACTGGCTGAATGGCTAAAATATGTAACGCATGTAGCATGGTGCCAGCACTCCATGCATGCCAAATAAGCATTATGCTTTTGGTAACTCACATGTTTATAGTTGACAGTTGTATGGAGGAGGTTAGTAAAAGAAAAACACAAAGAAAGTTTGTGGTTTGAACTCTTAGGGCTTCTGTCCTCTGGTTTGAGGGCTAGATAGATGGCTATTCTTCCTCTCCTGTCCCATTCTACCCTCTCCCGTGACCACCATGCTCCCAATTTACTCAGGAGATCTTGCCTTTTTCTTCTTCCCAGGGAGATCCATGTATGTCTCTCTTAGGGTCCTCCTTGTTTCCTGGCTTCTCTGGGACTGTAGACTGCGTAGGCTGGTTATACTTTGCTTTATGTCTAATATCCACTTTTGAGTGAGTACATATTATATTTGTCTTTCTGGGTCTGAGTTTCCTCCCTCAATATGGTTTTTTTTTTCTAGATCCATTCATTTGCCTGCAAATTTCAAGAATTTTTTTTTATTTTTTTATTTTTTTGCTGCTGAGTAGTACTCCATTGTGTAAATGTAGCACATTTTACTTAGCCATTCTTTCATTTGGGGCATCTAGGTTTTTTTCCAGGTTCTGGCTGTTACAAATAATACTGAACATAGTTCAGTACACAAGGACATAACACATGTCCTTGTGATATGATTGAAAATCCTTTGGGTATTTACCCAAAAGCAGTATTGCTGAGTCTTGAGGAAGGTTGTTTCCTAATTTTCTGAGAAATCGCCACACTGATTTCCAAAGCAGCTCTACAAGTTTGCATTCCCACCAGCAATGAAGGAGTGTTCCCTTTACCCCCCACATCCTCTCCAACATAAGTTGTCATCAGTGTTTTTGATTTTGGCCATTCTTAGAGGTGTAAGATAGAATCTCAGAGTTGTTTTGATTTGCATTTCTCTGATGACCAAGGATGTTGAGCATTTCCTTAAGTGTCTTTCAGCCATTTTAGATTCATTTGTTGAGAGTTCTCTGTACTCAATTTTTTATTGGATTATTTGTTCTTTTGATGTCAAGTTTCTTGAGTTCTTTGTATATTTTGGAGATCAGTCCTCTGTCCGATGTGGGGTTGGTGAAGCTCTTTTCCCAATCAGTGGGCTGCTGTTTTATCTTGTTGACCATGTACTTGACTTTGTAGAAACTTCATACACACACAAATACATAATTAAATTTTTAAGTTTCAAAGGAAAAGTCCAGAAATAGTGTAATAAAGGGCTAGAGAAATGGCTTAGCCTTTAAAGGCCAAGCTCACAACCGGAAATATAGAAAATGCTGTGATAAGTACTTATTGAATGCAGGTTATTGTTCTCATCACGCCACATTTATGGAATTGATTGATGGTTGCATGTTTTCTCTGTAAAGGAGAGCTCAGGAGGTGTGGCTTGACACAGCCCATGGCACACAGTTGGGAAGCAGGAGTGGCTGCTGAGTGAGAGTGAAGCCTATCCCTTGGGTGCCTCAGACTCAACACACCAAGTGTGTGCTCCCTACAGCTACAGATGCAGATATTCAGTCATGTGAATAGTCCCGTTGTCTCCACTGCCAGACATAGGCAACACCCTGGTTATCTCCTCTACTGCATGTGTCCTGGCCACACAAGAACCAAGACTTAACTGTAGCATGGTCATGCTTTCAGCCCCGCTGCACTCATGGCCTCAGCAGCCATCACACGGCAAGAGTTGGCAGCCTTCTAACAGCGCTTCTTGCCTTCGCTGCTCACTTCCCTGGGTCCCAGTGTTACCTCAGATAAATTTCTTATTCAGTCTTTAGCTTAGTTTTTTATTTTTTTATCTTACAATAGAGATAATAATAGCACTTAGGCAATAAGGCTGCTGTTTTCTTAAATTAGTCACATAAGTCCCTAGCACAGTGCAATGTAAGTGGTCAGTTAAGGTCAGACTTAACCATATTGTCTGCAGAGTAGGTACAGTTAGTTCCCGTTGTGATCTCTAGTCCCAGACTTCACTGTATTGTATGCAGAGTAGGTACAGTTGGTTCTCCTGTGATCTCTAGCCCCTGTCCACCCCTCTGGCTTCCTCATCCACACCCATCCCCACTCGTCTCCTCATTACAGTTGTGTCTACCCTTCGGATCCCTGTCCTGCCAGTCTTTTTCACATCTCTTGACTTCTCTTGCTCTCACCCAGACCTAACAAATCCTAAAATCTGATTTGAACCCTATGTCTCCCCTAATTCGTTCCTTCCTTTCCTAGACAGTTATCATGAACTACTTGTGCATCTTGTACTTGACACTCCCAATATAGACTATAAATATATTATTTGTGTGTGTATGAGATAAAAACATATTTAGGGAGACAGACTGGTTGCATTCACGTTAGATTAATATGCTTGGAGTAGAACTTTGACATCTAACACCAAGCGAGCGAGTGAGTGAAATAGCCCCAGCCCCATGGTCTGCTGAGAGCTGGGGCCGACGACACCTGCCAGCAGAGTGCACATCAGTCAGTGGAGAAAAGGCAGACATGACTGTTCACAGTAAGCTTTGTATACTACAGGAACCACCAGTCTAGCTGGTACTGAAGCCTAGGGTCTTTCTGTAAGACGGGCCGTGTTGTGGTGGTCTGCGCTGAGGTCATTGAAGATGTTTATTAGGGACACTCAGTTCATTCATGCTGCACATGGGGAGTCAGACCTCTGCTTCCCACATTCTCAGTGGACCAGGGACAGCTCTACTGTAGGAACACAGCCAGCTGATGTTATCTGGATCATCTGTCACAGGCATTGAGGAACTATATTCCATTTAGTCCAGCATCTGTCTGTCTTTGCTCAGATACCAAGAATTAACTTAATGCTTCTAATTGTGAAGATCAATTTAGACCTACCAGTTTCTCAACCCAGACATCATTCTGTTAGATCTGCCTACTGCTCTTAATAGCAAGTACGTGACTGCTTGGCTCCCCATTGAAAAAAAAAAGGGTTTGCACAACAGAATTAAATTGTCATCTCAAGCATTTCCTGGCTGCCCTCTGGAGTATTAATAATCCTAATTACTTCCAAGAGCAAAATTGCATCCATTTCTGGTGTCTGTGCTACAGACTCAACTGGGCTCCATGACTGAGAAGGAGTTAAACCCTTTCCTTAAATTCTGTAGCCATTTTCTAATGAAATTGTCATAAAAGTACCTCCCTGCCCCCATTCAAACCAATCAGACTGAACCAAAATACTCAACTTTCTT